AGTTTAATAGTAGGAAGTTTCACTGTGTGAGATTGAGAAACGGGTAATTGCATAACGGGTACTTGTGTAACAGGTATTTGAGAAACGGTTACTTCTGGCGATTGTAAAGTATTATATTCAAAATTAGTTCTACTACCAAATTTTTTTGCTTTAAAGATAGCGAGCTCGGCATTATCCACGTATTCTTCACATTGAATAATATCATTGTCATAATCACCATCTGTTAATAAACTATGAATGTCGTTATCCAATTTCTTCATTTCTAACAAGCAATCGGAAAGCCGATGACTAATATATTCGACATTTTCATTTAAAGTGTCAGAGGTTGCAGAAAGATCGGAATTTAATTGAGTAATAAATCGAGTAACATTACCTCGCACTGTTCTTCTTTTTCTTTTCAAAAGTGCCAGACTATCGCCAAGTTCTTTATCGTTTGGTTTCTCCATCATTGAGCAATACTGATGTTTGACGTTTCGTTAGTTTTTAAAAGAGTGACTGCGTAAATTATTCATCTGATTCGTATTTAATTTTAAACCGAGTTGTTTCGGCACCAAAATGTGTTGGTTGTAAACGTAAATGTTTCTAATTACAATCAACACTAAAACAAGTATCTCATAGAACAAACTCTTTTACTATCACAAATGTACACAAAGAATATATACATGTTGCCAACAAAGGAATAATGTAAGAAATAATATAATAAATAATCATTGCATCTGCGTTCACGCAGTTGCGTCTGGAACACACACCATACGTCACACCCGTTCATAGGGTGGACCCATTCATACAACCTTTCATTCATTCATACACAGATCGTAATTTTGACCTGAATCAGGGAACAATCGATCTCCAATCCAGTACTCCCAGAGTTTTTGATTTGTTATGGGAACATGGAGGACTTTAGCGACTCGACAGATTTAACGTGCATCAGTCACTTTACTACACAGGGAGTCTTCAGACGGCGGGGTTCGAACCCGCGAACTCTCGCACATGGGCCCAGCGCCCTACCGATCAGATTTTCCCGGCCTCTTTAAATTACTTAAAAAGTATTATTGTGTGTCAAAATAGGAAAACGGTTTAATAGTACCAGATAGAGCCGTTGTGGTTCTGAGGATTGTACATTTGTCTTCAATGGTTCGTATCCCAGGGATGATTGGTCAATCCGCACCCGGCTCTCACCGACCACAGTGCTGGCGTTAAATATCCTCAGTGGTAGACGGATCATGATTTAAAGTTCCCTTGCCATCAGGTTTACCGTGGTAGGTTTTTGTGGTTTTCCTCTCCCTGTAACTGATTAATGCAGATTAGTTTCATCAAAAAGTACGAGGCGTGGTGGCTCAGGGAATAAAGCGTTCGCCTTCCATTGAGGTGAACCGGGTTCGAATCCGAACGATGACTGGCCGATACTAATTCCGTACCCAAAGTGCTGATGTAAAATATCCTTGTCGTAGTGATTCACCTCCATGAAGGCGAATTTCTCCAAATACTTGATCCAGGAGTTCCCTTGTCTTCTGGATAGGTTTCAAAATGACATGGCTACGGAGTTGAGCATTAGTATTCGTAAACCCAAAATTGGGCCAGCTGTTCAACGATGGTATAAAATAGTACCAGATAAATATGTGTATGTGTATTTATTATATTATACGAAATGCCAATGAATTTTAATTTTTTGATTTTAGAAATTCGAGGATAGAGAATTCGCCGGTCTCAACGAGTTATCTGAATTGTATATTCGCGGAAATCGAATTGTTGAGCTAGGAGATCAACTTGAATCGTTACCTCAATTGCAGTTTCTTGTGTTATCGAGTAACAGAATTCAGAGTCTGAAAATGGAACAAATACCAAAAAGTCTGCAGTATCTCTATTTACGTGGTAATACTTTAATTATTTGTATTTTTATTATTTATTTAAATTCTATCTGCTGATTTCATGTATCTGAATTTTCGGAGGTTTTTTTTCAAATTTTTAGATTTCATCTTAATAAATTTTTTATATGCTGTATCTAGTTCCACTTTAAATGCTCTTTTTTAATTTAATGTGAGCGCATTAGTCAATAAATTACTTACGAATAGCACCATTAAAAGCAAATATGTTCATTTCCTCCAAAAAGTCATAGAATTGTCAAGGAATAATGCAGTCATCAGTCAAAACTGTGATAAATCTTGCAACAAATCCTGGAAAATAAGAAATTTTAAAATTCGCGGTAATAATAAGTAGCTATTGATGTTCTAAGTAAATAAGTCTCATATATATTTTTATTATTTTTTTAAGAAGTTTAAGAAAAGGATTTTTTTTAAAAGTCTTTTGCTTTTATACTGCTGTGCAATTAAAAAAAATAACGTGAGTGCATAATGATAGATTTCAAGAAAAATAGCTCGTCATAGATTTCAAGAAAAATAGCTCGTCAACTATTTTCTTTCTATTGCTACTGCTATCAACGTTAAAGTAGAATTTCAAAAAACTGATAAAACGGGATTTACTTTTAATAAAAAAATTTATGCATTTAATAGTTTATCATACAATAATGCCAAATACATAAAAATATCAATTTTGAATAGTTTTTTCACTTACGTTGCTTATTCTGTTGCATGGCAGCTTACAGAGGTTAAACAAAATAATGGAAACACTTCCTGTACTAACTCATTTTTTAATATTCCGCAAGAAAAAATAAACTTTAGAAGTTTTTAAGTCACGCGATTTCTCATACTATTCAATAAAGTGTAAAGATTTTAAAAGTTTGAGGAACCGGCAAAAAATTTCGAACGAAAACGAATGTTTTTGAACACCCTATGCAAAAACGAAATACAACTATAATCTTGTAACTCGTGTCAACTGCGTATATTATAGTACGAATTAGCTGCCCAAAATTTCGCAGAACTAGCTTAAATATTCATGGTGATGTGAGCAGTTTTATAAAAGACATATTTTTCTTACTAAAACTCCCGAAATATTCAATAAAATTAAACAAAAATTCCAGAGTAATTTTTAATTAATGAAAAAAATATTATTTTAAAATCTGGAAGAAAAAAAATTTAAAAATTGTGCAAAAGATATGAGTATTTAAATTAATCCTTCATAGCGGAAAACGTTTAGAAAAAATATTTCATAATTTTGTTTAGAATCGCATTTGGTAAAATCCGATTTGAATATCTTGAAAATGTAAAAAGTTTTTAGCAATTTTCTAAGTAGATTTTGTACTATCTTATTGAAAGCTCTAAATGATAAGAGGTTTTCCACATTTGTATCATAAAACAAAATTTCGTAACAAATGATAATACCCTAAAATGATATTCCGAACATCAAAATGTGATGGTATTAGGAAATAAAACATGTGAAATAAAACATAATTTAATAGTCCTATATGATACCGATGTCATTTTTAATAAATCTTGTTAAATAGTGCAAAATTAATTTTGTGGAAAACCCCTTTACCACTTAAAACTTTCTTTCCCAAATTAGCAAGAACTTCTTAGAAAAATGCTAGAAAATTTTTAAACTTTCAAGATATTTAAATCGAACTTTTTTCATAAGTTATCAACTCTGATTCGAAACAAAATTATGAAAACATTTTTAAAAATTTTTCGCGTGTGCCCATTTGAAAAATATCCATATCTTGCTCAATTTTTAATTATTTCTTTTTTCAAATTTTAGAGTGATATTTTATGATTTTGATATTCTAAATTTCTTTTTAATTTTAGTGAATATTTCTAAGGTTTTAGTAAAAAAAAAACATAAGTAAAAAAAAAAAAAGAAATTTTTTTTAAATGTCTATATCTCCATAAATATTTAAGTTAAGTTTTTGAAATTTTGTGCAATTATTTCATATGATAATTAACGCAATTGACACGAGTTAGAAGCTTATCACTGTATTTTTTGGTTTGGGTGATGTTCAAAAACATTCTTTTTCGGTCGCAATTTATTACCGGTTCCTCAAAACTCTAAAAGCTTTAAATTCTATTAATATGTATGAGAAATTGCATGACTTAAACACTTCTAAAGTTTTAAAATGAATCTCTGAAGAATTCGTGAAAAATATGAAAAAATGAGTTAACATAGATGTGTTTCCATTATTCTGTCTAACCTCTGTTTTTGTCGAATTATGGGATTTAATTATTATATATTACACTTTATTATTATATACTATATTATTATTGTTATATATTTAGTACTGCAGTAGACTGATCATAAGACACGGTTCCCTGCAGAGCCCTGAAGTCGAGCATCACTGGTTACGGTCAATAAGCGTGTGGGTGACCCCTTTGATCAATCTGCGTAGGAACCGAAAGTGTGAGGTATCGGTCCTCGTTAAACGGCTCTACCGTAAAGTGCTCGACTTCACGCGCAGTTCGTCGGGCTACCAAAGCAGGGGAGTCTGCAGAGGATAAAATTGCGGTGGTATGTCTTCGGGTCATCCTCAGGGAAGTTTCCCAGACCGTCGCCAATAGCCCATTGGGCAGTTCTCGTGTGACATGAATCAAGTACCTACCTACCGTTGTATATTTAATTATTATATATTTTATAGCAATTATAGGAATAATTATTGTATTATTTTGTACCTGTCTTATTTTTTATTGCTTTATAATACACTTTTCTCTTCACAATGATAAATATTTCTGAGAAAATCCTTCTTCTTTAGATAATCCCATGCAATGTGATTGCCGACTTCTTCCATTTCTACAATGGCTAAACTCGTCTGGATCACCGATTACAGACTATCCTCTCTGTCTGTCTACGGCCTCAAATTCTTCAAAACGTGTTCAGTCATGTCCAACGGGATGCAACTGTTACTGCACGAAAGATGCTGATAATTATTTTATGACGTTGGATTGCAGCTTCAAGAATATGTCAGTCCTACCACAGTTACTCACAGTTAATAGTGTTGACGTATGTTAGTTTTTTTTTTTTTTTTTTTTTTTTTTTTTTTTTTTTTTTTTTTTTTTTTTTTTNTTTTTTTTTTTTTTTTTTTTTTTTAAAGATATGACTGTTACTGTTAACTGGGAGTTAAAACTGCCAAATTTCAAATATTTATTAAAAAATGTGTATTTCTATATCAGATAGAGAAAGAATATTGATTTCTTGGCTTGAAAGAGAGGTCATAGATTTGATTTATGGTGCTTAACCATATATACCTTGTTTTCTTTCAGTAAAGATTGAAAAACTTGGTGAGCAAATTTACCTAGTGAACTGAAGTAACTTAACCCATCAGATGTATCTCAATTCAAAACTGCCTCTCAATTCAATTTCTAAGAATTGTTTCTTTTGCTCCGGTAACATCAGCAAAAATTAACTTCAGAACAGTTGAAAAAGTTATTTATTATTTTTATATATTGTATGAAATTCGTTAAATTATTTTAAAACAATAGTAGGTAATTATTAACAGAAATAATGAATAAAAGTATATAAATTTAAGTACACGAGTCACAATGTTTGAAAAACTTTTGAGAAATCTTCTTCAAAAACAAATTTGCCTCGCCGTTACTTCGGAGATGAATACGGGAACAAATTCAAAACATATTATTGAAAACAAATTCGGTCAAAAAAATGATAGATTCACCTTAGATAAGAAATTTTGTAATTACTATCGTCACTAATGTTAAAAAATTTTCTATATGCGTCATGTATATTAAATATATGCGTCAAAGTTTTTTTCCATGAAATTTCACCACCACTAATTTTCATGCTAGCGCTTTCGAGGATCGAACATTTTGTTCTGCTTCGATAGTTCTTTCTTTACCAGAACTAGTGGCGTCATGAGTCAGCATTAGTTGTCAGTACTTTGTTACAGTTATAACACGATACAGTCTATTACACGATAAGTAGTGAGTAAAGTAGTACTAATTCTTTTTCCTGTGGTGATCTGAAATATGAAAATTCCACTATCGTATTCCTTTATCAGTAACACAAACATGAAAAACTTGCTAACCATTTCTACTAGTCCCACAGATCTAAATTACCGAGGCATTCAAAGTTCTTGATAATAGTCAGTAAGCAAATTGGATATTTTCACATTGACAAGCTTTTACAAAATAAACAAATTCTTGCCCCACGGATCTAAACTGTTGAGGCACTCAAAGCTCTTGATACTAGTCAGTAAGCAAATTGGATATTTTCACATTGACAAGCTTTTACAAAATAAACAAATTCTTGCCCCACGGATCTAAACTGTTGAGGAACTCAAAGCTCTTGATACTAGTCAGTAAGCAAATTGGATATTTTCACATTGACAAGCTTTAACAAAATAAACAAATTCTTGCCCCACGGATCTAAACTGTTGAGGCACTCGAAGTTCTTGATGCTAGTCAATAAGCAAATTGGATATTTTCACATCGACAAGCTTTTACAAAATAAACAAATTCTTGCCCCACGGATCTAAACTGTTGAGGCACTCGAAGTTCTTGATACTAGTCAATTAGCAAATTGGATATTTTCACATTGACAAGCTTTAACAAAATTTTAAAAAAATCCTGCCTCATATTACAACTATGCTGCTGTTGTAATGTGGCGTAACAGCAATTAAAAACAGCCCTGAACATTACAACAGCAGTCCTGATTCTGCAGAGCTGTCAATTGCTATTCGTGGTTGAAACTTTTATTTAAAGCTCACAGCGTTGAATCACCGGGTAAAATTGTATGGAAATTTACCTACTAAGTACAATTTTACCATTGAACAGCATAAGGGGAAACCGATTTTTTAATGCTAAAAGTTCGGAAAAAGCTGGGACTAACTTTCAGCGGATTAAAAATCGAGGAAAGTAAACCCAGTTGATGGTAATATGCTTGCTTTTTTCAACTGATAACACCAGTTATATCAATTTATTTAGCGTAATATGATAATGTGGCGTATCAGGGAATTGATAGTAAACCATTCTTGAGCTCGATATTTCGGTAAAGTACCCTCTGTATTCATTCAATACTTTTGTTTATTGTTGCAGGACTCGTTCCATCTGAAGATTAACTTTGAAATGCAGTTCTATGAAGAAAACTCAACAGTTGAAAACTCCATTGCCGTGATAGACACTGTTAGAGGCATTAATCTTTCCAACAACAACTTGGAATCCTTGGAAAATGCGAGATGGCCTTCTGATCTACGACAGCTCTTTTTACACAACAACAAATTACGAAAAATGACGAATGTAATACTCCTCGATTTTCCAGTGCTTCGAAAAGTGTCGTTATCGGGAAATCCGTGGATTTGTGATTGCGACACTGTAGAATTTCGAAGGTGTATTCTGTCAAAAGAAGAAATTGTGAGTGTATATACTGTTTTTATTAAGCTAGTTCACGTAGCTTCAATTTTTCAATTAATTTTTTTTTAATTAACCCTCCTGGCGTCAAGCCCGTTATAACACGGGCACGGTTTCTATGCTAAAAGCGGCTTGCCCGTGTATGCACGGGTTCACGTTCTAGGTCTGGAGCGGCGATCACGTCTTTTTCTGAACTATAATATTTCCTTCCCCCTCAACCTCCTACTGCTCACAAATTGAGAGGCGTATAAGCTGTCATCGTAAATCACTCACTGTTGTGCTAGAATATTTCTGTTTGAATAGATGTGAATAGTTTGCGTTCTTTTTCATGCTTGAACCCCAATCAAACCAAAAGTTTACCTTTAAAAAACAGATTACATTTTTATTTTCTCCAACACTTTCGAAATATTGAATTTTTTTTTTAAAAATATATTCAATGCTTAATTTATTATACTAAATCTTTGAATAAATAAAATCGTTTCGTATTTTTAAATTTAATTAATTTTCGAAAAAGCATTTTTCATTTTAGAGTAAATTGCAGGAAATTATTTCTTGTCTAAACAAATGCAATATTTTATGAACTAATTAATGAATTTTTAATATTACTAATTTTCCATAGTATTTAACTAATTTATTTAAATTAGTTAATTTTTTTAAGTATTATGTTGCTTACAAAAAATTAAAAAAAATTTTATCTGGCAAATGAAAATAACTCTTAAAACACTCTCTCCTCTTTCTGTAATGTTAAAGACTTTCTCGGCATTTTTCTAAAAATCCCATCACTCAAAATACTAGTTTTATTTGTACTTTAGTTTAATGATATTAAAGCATTTTTATGGATAGAGAAAAAATCGAAATTCTTTTCATTAGTAAATACATTTCTCATACATGTGAATATATAAATAAATATTTCAGTAATGATAAATAAGCTTAATAATAAACTCAAATTTCCTTAATAAATAATAATAAAAAAATGTACAAGCTGTTAAAACTCCAAATAACTAAGTGAGTTATAATAAACTAAATATGTATTTCTTTCAAGTCCACAAAATAAATGTAAATATTTTATTCCACTCAAATACGTTTTAACTATACATACATTTAGATATACATTTTAAAGAAAACGATTTTTTTAAAAGTATAACTGATTATATCTATACATCTATATACATCTATATACATAATAATAAAAGCGGCTGTGTGTGTGTGTGTCTGTAATCACAATATATCACCACAGAAGCCTCGCCTAGGCACGAAACTCGACACATAATTGTGTTTTGACATAATGAAGAAGTATTTTTTTTCTTTTTTAAAAATTTGGATTAGTTATTTAGTTATCAGTCATTTTGTAAGTCTATGCTTTTCGTCTGCTTTTTCGTCTTCAAAGAGCCATATTCAAAAAACTATTAAAAAATGCATATACTTTTCCCCACTCTTATAAATGTATGCTAATGCGAACCTTACAATTGAAATATTAATTTTCGACAACTTAAACCAATAATATACGAAGGAATTAATAATTTAATTGTAAAGTTCGCATTAGT